TGCTTAAATTGAGTAAAATATGATTTATTTCCTCTTTCATATATTGTAGACGATGTCATGGAAACTGAAAGCAATACAATAATACTATTCAAGAAATTATCAAGGAAAAGGAGAACAAATAAACAAAAAGATGACAGATAATCAGTTCAAGGATGCATACATAACAGTATTAAATGGAGTCATTGAGGTCTATGCATGACTGACTTTAAAATATTCAGCCATGAATGATGATTCCAAAGTTATATAGCCTCTCACTTGACTTCTTGGATGTCATTTAACATGGTTTCTAATTATTAAAGATAATTGTTCCTTTCTTCTTTTTTCCCCTCTTTACACATCAATAACATCCTAATTATGTCTTCAGTTATTATGCTATTCCAATAAGCACTTCATAGCTTCACTGTATATCCAAGAATACTAATGACTAGGTTATAAAATACACTGACTAAAGACAGCTGCATCTCCTCAGAGCTTCAATCACCCGCAAGACACTTCATCCATTATTAAAATGTACAAGGCTAATAAAGGCCCTGTGTCTTCTTTTTTGTCCTACGCACAAGGCCGCAGAATATTCTTGTCACTGTGGTAGATGTGCTTGCATGTTTTTCTTTTAGCAGCTACATTACAAAGAGGTGAATGGTGAGGCCCTGCCAAAGCTCATTCCCAAACCTTTTCATTTCCTGGAAAATGGAGGACTAGTCAGGGTTTTCAGACAGCCTCGTCTCGGAGGATCCGGGGAGCAGGAAACTGCGGTGTCTGGAATTGATTTGAGGCAAAGGGAAAATAAAATACTTGGGATTCTTGAGGTTTGGGGGACAGCAGGCAAAAAGTCATGGATCCCACCAATGCAATGCAGGGAGACATTGGAGTGAGCGCAAAATGAGACTATCAGGCTTATGTGACAAACTTGGGTGAATTTAGGGAGCCATTTTAAGTCCCAGACCCCAGACAACTTATTAGGGCATGCCACCTCCGATATTTAAAGTCACTAGGCATATTTCAATAAAGCTCCCTCCTCTGAATTTCTGTGTAGTTTGTTTATTTTTTAAAACCACTCTCTTTACCGGTAGCATCTGCAAGCTACTCCCATGCTTAAGCTATACGTGACTGACAGCTTTATTGTTTGACTTTTTCAGAGATGATTGAAAAGCAAATGGTGCATTGATAAACATCACTCGGTTTGCAATACCTTTTCACCAAGCATCTATGAGGAGAGGTTAATTTATTGAATTGGTAAACAGAGAAATTAAACCTTCAATAGTGTGCACAACTGAAAAGGAGAGCGGCTGAAAATGATTATCCAGCTGCTCTGGCAGAGAACTGCTTAAAACTGAGAATGAAAAGGAGGCATGTGTGTCTCTTAAATTGAAAACTATATAATAATCCAGAGCTGTATAACAAATTTAAATATATATTCAAAATATATATTAATATCTTTTTAAATGATCCAAAATACCACAATGGATTTCGTAAATATATGCCACTTTTTCAGTAAATTAGTGAAAATGTCCCTGATTTGCTCCTTTTGCTCATTCGCATAGTCTATACACGATAAATATGCATAATACACTATAGAGGCAACCTGTTTAAAAGATTCCCACATCAAATCAAAATATAATAGAATGGGGAGCGTGTGAATCTGAATTGAACTTAAGCAGGACAATAGCCAATGCAACTGACATGTCCATTCAGCAAACATCACAGCCCTTATGCTCACTGTTTACTACCTGATAAATAAATATATACAGAATACATGGAATGAATGATTTGAAACTGTCTCACAGAGAAGATCGCCCATTGGAAAATTTAGAGAGTTTTTTTTTTTTAATGTATTGTTGTGCCAGGATGGCTTTGCAGCAGGATTGAGGAGAAAAATATATGGGGATCAAACATAGAAAAGATACAAAGCAACATGTTAAACTCACAATTTCATAGCCACTGAACAGATTTCACTCATGGGTGCGGGCAGCAGAACCGAAACTGTCTCTATGGTTGTTAAACAAACACAGAAGACGTCAAGGTGATGAGCAAGAAGATGTGAAAAGGAAGCAAGGGTTGAGGGTAAACAACATGAGCAAAGGGAAATCAAAAGCAGAGAACATAAAGCACTGTCAGAGAGCACTTCACTGCGTCCAATTTCCTCTTATCATTGATGAAGACATAGACTCTTTTGAACAGAAGGCTGTGACACTGAACCTATATCCCTAACCCCTCCACAGAGAGGTGCACAGTGGGAGGCTGCCACTAAAAAAAGTATAGCATTTTCCCAGCCTGTTTTTAGATCGAGCAAATATTTTGCACTTTTAAATGTGTATCAATAAAAAAATGTGCCAAATGCGAAATTAGCTAAAAGTCCTAATACCAAGAGAAATAAAATAAACCAACAAACAAACACAGCTAGAATAGTGGCGTACTATAAACTGCAGAGTCTGAGTCAGATTTTATCCTCAAAAAATATTATGAATCTGCTTTTGGATCATTTCTTAGGGCATTAGAAAAAATGCATCTGTCTCTCAACACAAGCAATTTGAAGCTCAAGCTTCCCTCTAACTATGGCTTAGAGACCTTGAGAGGCGGTTAAAACAAGGAGATGCCTGTCCTCAATCCTTCGACCCAATCCACCCCTGTCATGCACCGCTGACTCAACAAAGATACTCAGTCTTCCTTAAAACATCTGGTGACAACTACCTACCAGCAGGACTCCTTTGAGACAGATTCAAGCCACAGATTAGGTGTAAATGACTCAAAATGGGAAAATGCAGTGATATAATAACACAGCCCTTGGACGTGCAGACCAGCAGGGAGTAAACAAAGGGACATGTAGACAGAGGAACACAATCACGCTTGTTATCAATCTTTTCGGGACCTTTCTGGATGAAATCAGATGTTAAGTAACAACTTTCCCATCTGTAACCTGTATGTCTATTATTAAATGATATCCTTGCAAATCTGAAACTGCACAGCTTCAGGTTGATGAGTCATATTCCAGAGTCAATTTGGAAAATCTCTTGTCTGTCAGGGCTACAATTAAGGAAATCACACATGCCAAGGCACTTTGATGATCTTAGAAGATCTTATGCCAAGGCACTTTGATGATCTTAGAAGATCTTACTGAGTCATATTGAACTCCCATAACTGTCTTCACTGAGGATGACATGACAGTTTGAATGTTTAATCAATGTTTAGTCTAATAACTTTAAACCTACAGGTACATTTTTTTTTTTTTCTAAATTAGAATGCTCAAATATATGACCGTTTTAGTAATGACTAATAAACCTATTCTCATGTAATTATGTAAAAATCTTAAAGTTAATTACAAAATTAATTAGATCTTTAAACTGTGACTCTGCTGCCCTGGCAGAGATGTGCTTCCCTGTCACTTCTCGTTATTTTGGGAAAATCTCAAAGGTAATGCCAGCAATATTAGGGACAATGACATATTTATATTGTATATACACATTGGACACATACAAACTAAAATGAACTATAGAGTAAAACTGAAAAAGCCTGCACAAAACTGAAAAAGCCTGCACAAGGAACAAGCCTTAAAATTAAAAACATAAAAACACTCACTCTAAGAAATCCCTGTGTATTAACAATTGGATGACTGTATTTTACTAGAACTTGTACCAAGGCTAGAATGTAATTCACAAAATTTACATTTGCAAATTGGATTATGGGACCTTGATCTTCTCTCCAACATTTTTTTATTTATTTTTTGGTCACCACTGGTTGTGAACCACGAAAAGTTTGATCTCGTTCAGCTCCACTTTGCATGTTAAAGCTAGTTATGGAAATTACAAAGAAGTAACCATAGTTAGAAATATACACTACTCTGATTTAATTGAAAAGCTTTAAATTGACTGTTGTATTATGTTTTTTACTATTCTACAATACCATAAGCAGTCCCAACACATTCACAACATTATCAAATCCACATCAAATGACAATTCATGTCACATTTCTGTTGTACCAAGCAGAATAACCTTTCAATTGCTGCAAGGCAGATGATATCGTCTTATCAGGTCTCTTCTGTTGAGAAGTATCTTCCCCAACCAATCCTTCACTGAGTTGAGCATTACTGCCTGTAAATCTTACCCAGTGCTTTTTCACCTTTACATAATGACCTTTTCACACACTTGCACACACATCCAAACACACACGTGAATGTGCCTCATGAGGCTTTCAACGGCAGTTGACACAATCCACCATTTTAAGAGCAGCACAAAAGGCGGCTCATCTGCCTGGTTGGTTCTGAGCGGAGCTCCCAGGCCCCAGTGCACACCGTCACGCCTACTGTGCAGCAGAAGAAATTAAGAAGATAGTCATTTGGAAAGTATCAAAGGAAGCAGGGCAATCCTCTTTTTATTCTAGCAAGTTGGAAAATGAGATCGTTAATCCTCTGGGGCTTGAATTTGTTTTCTGTGTCTCTAAGTTTGATTCCTCTGGGATTTATGAACCATTATAATCTCATGACAAGGGATATGTATATTATTTACTTCTGGGCCTTCATTTCATTGTCTCTGTACCTGTATTCAGCACACTGAATCGAATCTAATCTAAAATGTATTTATTTAGTACATTTAATATTCACAGGCTATTAAACATCTTACCCTTTTTTATTCCATTAACGAAGTGTCTATTTAAACTAAGTGCAAAAAGCCCACCTTATTGGCAGATGCTTTTTACACTAACTCCGCCCACTGACATCTGGTTGGGTCAGACAAAATTACGGAATACTCTGGATTGCAAATGGTAGCAATAGTGTAGGGGGTGTCACCTTTTGCCGAACTCACTCTACTTCCTTTTTCCCATCACATATCAGATCGGAAAGGCATTAATTTTCAATAAAAACTAAGAATTTTTTTGAAAAGTGGAAATAAAGTGTCTAATGTGTTTAATAATAAAGTGTTCATCGTTTAGGCTTAGGAGTAGGTGTAGGGAGGGCTGTATTGTCCCAATAAGGCGGCATCCATTAAAGCTGCAGGCCGTAGCTTTTTTTGGGTTTAAAATTATCCAAAATACATATTTGAGAAAATACACAACCAGCCAGTGTTCAAAACTCTCTGCTTGCCTTAGCTCGAATCAAAGCGGTAAGCTTGTAATAATGTTTTTAATTCCAGTGGTACTGGTGGATTTCCGCGGGAGATTCGAGCATGTCTTTGCGTCATTACGTCACATCTGTACACATAAAGAAGAGTCTCGGCTAGTAGGCTATATTGCGTGTGAGGATGTTGGAGGTGGAGATTTATAACCTTTTCTCACAGCACTTGATATAATTAAACTTATCAATTTGATGGCGGATCCAGAAAGGTTCAAACGACAATCACCAGTGACAACTAGAGATTCACCCGCTGTAAAATGCAAAAGACTTCGTTCGGACTTCGGAGTGGCTACAGAAAAAAAGAGACTGCAACCGGCCCATGCGAAAACAAGGGCACATATCAGAAGGACATTACATGTTAACATTAACAATTTGAGAACAAAGTATAATTTGCACGGTTTTGCGTGATATGATAAGCGATTGTTAGATTTAATCAGCGCTATTTACTGCAATGTTAGAAACAGAACAAAAGTGGATGTTTCTTACTTTTTCGGATGACATTTTCCGGTGAAAATTATTATGTTGGTCATACTTCCAAAAAGAATAATCTGTGATTCTGAATGACAGTATCCACACCGGCGCGGCGACTGACAGCTGCACACTCTCCTCAAACATTGTGTTCATTCGCGCTGTGCCGTGTCGAAGTACAACTCACGTAAAGTTGATAATTCCGCGAATAACTGCAATTGAAGATTTTGAACAGAGATGGCGACAAAGAGGAAAAACTGCCAACTGCAACTTTAAATAATTGTAATAAATATAAGAATTTACACTCTGTTAGTATTGCATACCGTTTAATGTACAACAGCACTGATGTGCAAATAGTATCTGTCACTCACAATTCATAAGTATAAATAGCATCTAACTACTATTTACACTTATTGCCAAGAAAATACTGCTATTTTTACATAGTGAAAAATAGCATATCACTAAGAAAATACCGCTATTTTCACTTAGTGTAAATATAATATTTTACTTTTTAAACTTAGTGTAAATAGCAACTATCGCTATTTATACTTTGTGTAAATAGTATCTATTGTTATTTGCACTTAGTACAAATAGCCACTGCCTTTTTTTTATTGTTTCTTCTAATGAATTACCTGGATAATAAGGAGTCATTATTTTAAATGTAATACTTGAACCACTTCTCTGAAAATAATCTGTAGTGAACAGCATAGACTACGTTCTGTCAGGGCATCTGGTGTTTGTAAGCTAAAGGGTACATTTAAAATTTGAGTGTACAAATTTCATCAAAGTGGCACAACTATCAGCAATTGCTTTGAACTACAGCACAACTATTGATTTGTGATCTTTGTATCTCAGTTTAATCAAAACTCTTGCTTGCAATCAATAGTTCCAGTGGGTTTGAAAAACACCCTTGACACATCAAGAATCAAGGAAAATCCTTCTAGGGGGAAGATCTGTGTGGATGGGAGGCTGCTTAACTATTTATAGCAATACACTGTAAACTAGTTGGGAGGAAATCTGTATTCTACCATGGCAACAAGACAATAAATCTAGTCGTTTAACCTGCATGGCTAGAATTAAACTTATAATCTCTGTTTAAAACCCAGAAGGCTAAGTGTTTTGTTTTCGATGCCTAGCATGTGTGTCAAGCGAATGCCTGATCCTTCGGTCAATAGTTAAAAACAACAGAATCATTATCATCTGCACATGAAGAGACGCACTCCTCCATAAATGTCACCAGCGCTCTGATTTATCCTAAGCCGGGGCCAGGGTCAGGGGTTAAGGCTCAGAGGGGTTCTAACTGCTGAAAATGTTGACATTAGCATCCAACTCCCAGGGCATTCGCTTAAATCAGGCATCTCTCTTCTTTCCTTTTTTTTCTCACATTGTAGACAGGAGAGGATTAGTGGCTGCTGACAATCATGACATATGGCAAAGCTAGGCTATGAGCCACGATCAAAATCACACCACACATTATTCTTAGTTCACGCTCTAGCAACAGAGTTTCATGAAAACGCACGGTTGCTAAACCAGCTAGAAGTCAGTGCACATTAATGCATGTTGCTTTGTGAGAGTGCATATCTCAACTGTGATGTGAGCTGTCACATCTTGATGCAATGAAATAATGGGTGGGGAACGCTTGCTTACCCACAGGAGTCATTTTCAGAACACCGGTTTGAGGATGTGCATTCTTTAACCACCTGACATGTACATGCATCACACATCAATCAGTTAAAACTACACCCTACTGCAAAGATGCATGGGGAAAACTGAACCAAAATGTAGGCAATGCTAACATCAAATGTCTGACAAAACATTTGTATACATACAATGGCTTTTGTGTTTGGTACAGACCAATTTAAATTCATATCCTAGCATGTATATCTTATCTTCAATAAATAAATAAACACAAAAGAAATGTACAAAACCATGACTAAAACCAACCAAAACAAGAGATTATTCTTTGATTATTTCCAAGTTATATTAGTCATGTTTGTGCTGACAAATGGCATTTATAAAAATCCAGTCTATGAAAAGAACAATATGTGAGTGGGAGCACACTGACAAATGAATTCCAAATTCTGCATGTCTGTGAATCCCTTTGGCAAACCTTTTTTTTTTCTTCTTCTTTTTTTGAGGGTTCCAGTGGCTATTTGATTCACAAAGGTCATGCTGTGAAAAAAAAAAAAAGCACAAATGCTGGTAACCCAAGTGGAAAAATAATTTAGTTAAATGGACGGGTTTGCCTGCAAGCTTATAAAGAAGAAAGTCGTATAGTGTTGTGGCTATTAGGACCAGAGGAATTACTGTGGTGTGGGAAATGTTGCTAAGTATGTGCAATTTAGGTTCATATAATTTTTCTTTAGGTTTTTCTTTACCTTTTTTCACTTTTTTACTTATACAGTTAACTTCTGTTTCTAGCTGAAATAAACACTAGTGATCATAAAAGAACAATAACTTTTATACCTTTCCACACAAGATTAATTGTATGTTATGTTACTTGAACAATATAATGTTAACACATAAAAAATACTTTCCATCATACATGATTTGTAAACTAATATATTTTGACATTTGCATCACATAACCAGCTTCGTATGTATGGCTTTTTGACATAGTGAAATTGCTTGGTAGCTCACATGGTACAGTATTACATTTGTGATAGTCATTTCTGAACGCCTGCTATATGTACAACAACCAACATTGCCAGATTCATATTCTTCTGTTTCTGATAAAACAGGACACACTTTTAGTGCCACTCACTTACATTTCACTGTCAAAATGTTGTGAAATGTGCAAGAAGCAACGTAATATCATCTTGCAGAAATGTCGCCACAGGCACGTTTTTCCAATGCTCCTTTAAAAAAAATATATATATATATTATTATATATTATATTAATAATTTTTGATTAATTATTAATGTTATACTAATTGTAATTGTTTATGTTTTAAGTTTTTATATAATTCTTTTAAAAATATGTTTTATAGAGTTTTTTACAGCTGAGCAATTTTTACAGCTGAGTTTGTTCTGGAAAACCTTTTTGACAAATACATCACGCAGTAAGTGCTTGTTATGACAAACTGCAGGTCTTTCAGCCAATTAGAGAATGGGAAAACACAGAGAGAAACTCACTATACCCTTCATTCTTACACACCGCTACATGCTAGAACAGTGTTTGAAGGTGGAGAAAGTTGAAACTATTAAATGCTATGTGCTCTGGGCCCACAAATGACTCCTGGAGACATATTGAATTTCATTTAGTGCTACGCTAGCATCAAATCAACTTTGGGAACTAGGAGGCAGACTCACAGTCACTTCTCTGAACTCAATGAATATCAATGATGGCCACAGATTCTGTACAGTAATGAGAGAACATGAGAAATAGTATCGAAGGGAAAAGCACAATGGAGTTTGAATTAACAGACATATCAGCATTGTGAAAAGAAATATGACTGGCCTAAATATTCTGTAAGCATGCGCTCTATAAAATCATATGTGGGTTGCCGAAATGACTAATCAACAATATAATTTGGCTGGTTTCACATTCAACATTAGAACACTATTTCATTTGTATACATAAGATGCATTTAATACAAACTATGTGGAGCGCAGGGAATTGGAAGAGAATGCGTTTTTAGATGTTGGACTTTTTTTAAATATGCATGCTGTCTGAATGTGTATGGCTATAATGGTGGTGCTTTAAAGGGGGTGGATTTGAAGACTTTATCTTTTACGATAAGGTTTTACTAACTATGTTCTACAGTGCACATTCTATCAATTGCAGTTCTGGCACCCCCATCCCAACATACTGTACAATGTGACGTACATTCACATAACATATTTAGCAATGCAGCCAGCTGTAGGGCTATGTTCAAGTGACATTACAGTTAATAATAATAAAGTAATACCAACAAATAATAATAAAGTAATACAAATAAAGTTTATTTGCATGCCTGTCACACAGCCCCATTACTGAACTAAATTCTCTTTCACATCTTATCGTGCTTAAACAGTCAAATACACACAGGTTTACATAAACAATGTCATTATATATCTTAAAAGAATGTAAACAGTTTGACGGATGTGTGTCAGTAGTAGCCTATATGTGCAACAGGTCTTGATGTGACATCAGCCTAATATACCTGCTGCTGTCTGTGTCATGTCATTAATGTTAATCAAACAACAAAATAACTCACTGCTCTTGACTGAATATAACTTCTGTAGCTTTAAGAAGCAGTGTATATTTAATTCATTCAGTGATGTCTATGTAGTTTTCTTTTCACATGTGTTTATTACATTTCTTACTTGAATGCTACTGTTACAGTAAATTCACCAACTGTAGCTGAAAATATGAATGCACTATTTATTTAATTTGTATGTTATATTGTAATTGTCGTATTATTTGTAATGTGCGTTTTGTTACTAAAACCAAATACTAAAAAAAAAAAAAAAAAAAAAAAACATATAAACAAATTGATAGATGTATATCAGGCGTTTTCTAATTGGATGATGCCACGGACCCCCCAAATATGTTCCCCTTTCGAGGGACTCCATTCTATAAAAGTCAGATGTGTATATGGACCCATTTATAAAATAAAATAATACTGTTATAAATACTGTATGTATAAAATATTATCTGGAAATTATTTACTTTCTATTAAATTTATATTAAAAATTATATTATTTTTTACATACTATTTAATAGTATGTGTTTTTTTAAACATGAATGAACCAGCTTTGAAAACCCCCAGACTAGACCATTATTTGATTATTGTGATTTAAAATCTCTCCATGCGACCACGTGTATAGCTAAAAGAA